CCTGGACCCCTCCCCCCCCCCTGTACACGCCCTTGCAGTAATTGAAATGATTTAGGTCTGACCATCTCCAAATTATCATAATTAGCTGAACTTTCAAGTGGGGTACGGAGGAAGGAGTTGTTTTTTTGAATCTCAGGGGGGGATATTTGTACAGGCCATTCCCCCTCCTTCAAGAGCGGGGGGGGGATGCATCCCCCCCATCCTCCCCAGGATTTACGCCCATGCTGGTAACTATCTGATATGGTTAGGGTTAGGGTTAGGGTTAGGATTAGGGTAAGGGTTAGGGTCTTAAGCACAACGCACACACCCGAGCAAAACACGAAATTTTGTTTTCCAGCGTTTCGCTCGGCGAGCAAGCGCACACACGCCACCCGACACAGCACACAGCTGAGCAAAACATACAGAAACACTGTGTACAGCGCCGCTGTCACATTACATCAAAAATAGCCATCCAATGAACATCCAATTTTGTGTGTCATGTGATATTTTTAAGGATATTGATTGGTGACCGTCTATGGCGTTTCGCTGTGTGACGCACACACCCGAGCAAAACGTACGCTCAGGCGAAAACACGCTCCGCGTGTTTCGCTGAACATTGCTTGTTCAGCGAAACACGCTCAGCTGAGCAATGTTTCTTGTTTCGGGAATCCGCACACAGCCACGAACATCGAGCGAAACATGTTTTGCTCCACGTTCCGGTGTTTTGCTCGGGTGTGTGCGTTGGGCTTTAGGGAGTAGGCGTAGGCATAGGCGACTCCCTAGACTCGTTAGTGGAGTAGGCGAGGTACGGTCCGGCATATTAGATAGTACCAGCAGAGCATATAAATCACGTTGATTTATATGCTCTGGTACCAGGGTACGTTCCGGTATACCGGACCGTATACCCAGGGTACGTTCCGGCAGTAACCACGGCCCTCTCAGCGCCAGTAACCACGGCCCGTGCAAACAATAGATGCATCAAAATACTTTCGGAAATATTTTGGCAAGGCGCCAAAAATCACAAACGCCAACCCATAAACCTTCGTTAGAGACCGACAGAGTAGTTGCCCAAGATGGCGAGAGAGGGGTGAACTGACGATATTTTTAATACTTGTAAACAAAATTGGTAAACTCGTAGGTTAGACTTGCGCGGCGGCTATACGGCAGAGACAGACACAGGGACGGCCACTTCTGATGTGCTTTCTACACACTGCGTAGTATGTCAGACGGAATAAAAGGCCGTAACTTTATGAGCGACGCGTCCAATAAACATGGGATCGACGCGTCCAATAAACATGGGATCGACGTGGGAGTGCTGCCGACACGCGTTACTTCCGATATATGATAATCACTGGTTATCACGCCCTACCCACACAGTTTCTTTACACACCTATATCTAACCTATCCCTCATCTCCGAGACTCCGACTGAAGTCCAGGAAATAAAGAAATCGCAAACATCTGCAAGGCGCACCCTTCCCTCCCTCCCTCGAATTCCAGCTGTGTGTCATGCACGCTTTCTCTACCAGCATTGGCGGGAAGCAGAGCGCGGCGATGCCTATAAGTATTTATAACTGTACACGAGTAGACGCACGCCTTCTTCCCTGTAGAGCAGGCCACCCAATTCTAAACGCAGCGCGCCAAGTGTGAACAACGATCACTCTCTTCCGCTCTCGCGCATCACAGCACACCGACTCCCGCCCCGATTCTTACACAAAATCAATTCGTGCGGATCGATGTAAGGAGCAGTAGGGCTCTACTATAGTTGTGGAGTGTGTGTGGCGGGAGTAGGTAGACAGACAGGATTAGACAGCAGCCTTCACGAAGGCTACTATAATTGTCGATCCTGCTTGCACCGCCTAGGAATAAATGGGGGAGGAAAAACCACCGGTTTCCACCTATAACACAGATTAAAGATAATACATACATACGTTCACCACCTTTACTCTAATATCCTAATAACCGGTTGTCACAACTACGGGAGCCGAGCTTGAACTGAAAGTAGCACTAACGAGTCGACTATGATAAAACAAAAGACTAATAATTATAATTATCATTCGAGAATGGCAATTGTCAGAAATATATATCCTGGCACAGGAGCTAACTTGGTGGCGTTCATAATCACCATTGAACATTGTCACAACCACCAAGCTTTTTTTCATGACAGGCTGTCATGAAAAAAAGCTTGGTGTTTGTGACAATTGACAGCCCCCTACTCCGAAAAACGTGCACAAAATAAATGTTGATTTTCCAGATTTGGCAGGAGTATGTGAAGCGGTAGTTGTGTTTGTATTTCTAGATGCCTGCAACGGCCGTTGACACACTCAGCCCTCTTCCCATCGTTTACTATATATACACTTATAATGTAGATCAGCAACAGCCACAACTACAGACACAACCACACTACTGTAGGGTGCCAACCACACCTCCGTGCAAGGGAAAACGCCATCCCAAGACCAGTATCACAGACCCGAGTTATTTCGGTCACAGTTTGAAGAGGAAAGATAAGAGGGTTGGCGAGACTTACAGCAAAGCACGCACGACATATCTACGGCATACAGGAGGACAGCACGTCTTTATACGACATTATAGTACAGGCTGCTCGGCTCACCTCCTCCATTCCGGTAGCAAAGGTAGGGGAACCGCCACACGTTGCCGAGCCCGACCGCATAGCCGATGCAGGACAGAATGAAGTCCATGCGTCCGGACCAGTTACCCCTCGACGTGTACTCGGACTCGCTACTGTCCGAGCTCACACACAGGCTGCTGTCCGAATTCTTCTTCTCCATGGCGTGTGTGGCCTGCAAATGTGAATCAGAAGACAATGTCAGTACATGAAAGTTTTCCCTACAAATGCACGCCTCCTTACAGATGGCGTAATCGTCATGATTCGAAGGGCAGTGTTCATTTCAAGAAAGCAAACGGTTTCCTGATTTCGGCACAGAGACAAAGACACTCAAGACCCACACCTCACTGTCCATATCACCACCACCCAGTAATAATAGAACTACCCGACCCAAGGATACTAACTAGTAAGTGCACTTCGCAACTATCTATTCCAAGGAAAACACTGATTGGGATAAAATACCTTCATGTATTGCGTTACTAAGTGAACGCCAAGCAGTAGAACTAGTAGTTGACTACTACTTAGCCATTTATCAATATACAAGTGTCTGTTCTAAGAAAGAAAGGCACTTGATTGAGTATATTTTAAGTGGCTGAGATGATGCGGAAACTGAACATATGTAATTTTTTGAGGAACACAGTTTGCTCGGCGAGGAAAAGAAACAACGGAACTGTGCACTTCTTTCTATGCAAACATTTTATCAGCCAGCTATACGGCACAGTTGCCCACTAAATGGCACGCTAGCAAGAAGGACCACGTGCGCAACACATCCCGCCATTTTACTGACGGAGGCCACGTGAGTTGTAACAAAGCCAAGCCGCCTGCCACCCAAACGCTCGGGCTGGTGTCCTCGCCCCACACGAACACACGAAAAATAGCAAGCGTTATTTTCTGTGCCATAACTGCATAATAAACTAGACAGAGTGCACTCACAGAGAGTGCATACCTCCGCCAGCGACATACGCCATACGACTCACGAACACACGAATAAGCCACGATATACGGCAGCGTACTGACATACATGTACACGCTGGCTTGCTGGCTTGCTGCTCGCTCGCTCGTAGCAGCTGCTCGTTGCTGCTGCTCGCTCACATGTACACGCTCGCTGGCTCGCTGGCTGACGCGCTAATATCGATCGCGCGAACACACGAACACACTAACACACGAACACACGAACACACGAACACACGAACACAAGAGCGAAAACATAACCTCCTCCAACTCCGTTGGGCGGAGGTAATGACGACAGTATGACACCGTTGTCAGAAATATAATTCTAAGAGATCATAAACTTCGTAAAACAAATTTTGTTCAGTGTGATGCAGAAGTTATGATGCACTAAAATTACAAGTCATAAATATTTATGATCTTTGAAGTTTCTAGCAATAAGTTTCTGGATGGATTACGACTCTCCTAATTCAGTCTCTGTTTCCCCTTGTTGATGAATGAATGCCAGGCTATACACCATATAAACGCTTTTAACGTGATTAAAGCTGAGAGGGTCTATATCTCCCAGGGTACTGCCGGAACGTACCCTGGGTACGGTCCGGTATACCAAAACGTACCCTGGTACCATCTAATATGCCGGACCGTACCTCGCCTACTCCACTAACGAGCCTAGGGAGTCGCCTACGCCTACTCCCTAACCCTAACCCTAACCATATCCGATAGTTACCAGGGTACGTACCGGAACGTACCCTGGGCAGTACCCTGGGGTACATATAGACCCTATGAGCGTGATTAACTGTTAATAGAGATAAATTATTCTTATTACTTACGACAGCATTACTTATTACAGTATAAACGGCAGTCACACTCAGACACGCACCCCTAGTTTTAACAGAGCTTTACAATCATGTAATTTCGCAACTGTACAAAGGTTTTTGCTGCTCCTGCTGCTACTACAACTATTACTACTGACTCTTACTCTTCCGTCTATTTCTGTAATACATTTTTTCGACAGGCCAAAGCTAAGTCAAACGCCAAAGCTAAGTTAAAACCAATTTTCGGAAGGAAACTTTGTCGGCGACTTATTCCTAGAACTACTAACATGTACACAATAAATAAATAAACATAATTTATTACCAATATGAATCACAAATGGCTAACGTTACTCAGCAGTTAAGGAGTTGGGGTATTAAGATTTCGGGAAAAAATTTGCATACCTTCTTTACTCCCAGCAGTTATTTTTTACCTCTCCATGTATGGATTGTTTAAAAATGGGGAAAGTGAGTAATGAAATTTTAAAATTAGGTTGCATATATATTAAAACCCTTTGATTATGGCAGTCCACACATACAGGGTGTCCTTGAATTGGAAATAGTATTTTTTTTCTCAACCCCATGACTTTCCATGATTTTATTTTTAAACCATACTGATACAGTTTCAACTTCGAATTTTTTAATTCACCTCTACAAAAGGCGTGAAGCCATTTATAGATCACTGCCTGCAAAAACGATTAACCCATTTGTACAAATTGTACATAAACGCATAAATTTAGACGTATAATAAACGTGTCTACGGGGAAGACTTGTTCATACAGTGCTGTAAGTGATTTATACTGTAACTCATATCGCTACAGTTTGTGCACTGGCTACTAACCCGACCAGGCTGTGTGGCTAACGTCAATATACACATTTGTATACACATAGGTCTCCTAACCCTCGCAAAGACCGTTTCTTGGAGCTACACTGGTTACCAGAAGCGCATACGGATACATGTGCAATTTTACAATGGAAACCGACTACGGCAGATGACGGGATATGCCGGCCGGCGTGCGCACAACTCTGTGACGGCGCGTGGAAAACGTGTGTGACTGGGGTTCTAAACTATAAACCGGTTACATTTTGCGCGCCCCGTACGAAGTTCGACGACTTCTCTCACCAGATGTAGATCAATATATACACAATAGTTATACATACACAATTATATATATATACACAATATATATTTAGTAGATCAATAGTTTGCCACACTGATTGTCTCACGAGTAACGGCAGGGTTATAGAGGAAAATTTTATTTCATGAACGTTAATGTCGTTAATTGCTGAACCACCCCATTCGTTCCTCTAGCTTATTATTTCTACATGGACTTGGGGATCTTATTCCGTGCATCAGACAACACGTGGGCAGGCCACATCTGACACATGCCCGATGTCCTGAATACCCTTTGCATTACTAAGTTCATGAATCTATAATTGGAACATCGTAAGAAACCGTTAAATTTAACCGTTAATTAGTTACAGAATATGCAAGGCTGCAACCGATTGCATGCAACAAGAGCTAATGAAAGAACATTGAGAAATATCCACCTTTTAAATAGATAACAAAAACACATGCCAACATCTAAGTAATAATTAGAAAATTAACAAACATAGCTTCTACGTCTTCGACAATGGTTCCATGATACATCATACATGCAATGCCAATGATGTACGGTACACCGCCAAATTTGCGAGACTAACGCACGCGAATATACAATAACCGGTCAATCGATGTTATACTAGTCTATAGTTTATACAAGTACCGTTTCTTGGACGAATTGGCTATATGCCCGGCAGCCGGGCACGGTCTTCGATTTCCTAAATGCTCGGCAGTTTTTAATTTTCGGTGATTTCTCAAGTAAACATAGCTCCAAGAAACGGTATTGCTAGGGTTAGAATACCTATGTATATTGACGTCAGTCACACAGCCTGGTCGGGTTAAAGTAAACAGTGTACTACGTGATCCAAAGTATTCTACATTTGTTTAGAAATGTCAAGCGATTTTCGTTAGAGCTTTATATTCGAACTAGCCCAATTCTCCTAGCTTCGGATCACTGAGCGAACGAACTCGAATCGAGACAAATAATAAGAACTAATAATCACACTAAAAATCGACACTAATAATCACACAATAAGAATTAGAAAATATCCGACGGCTGCCGGGCACGGTCTTCGATTTCCTAAATGCTCGGCAGTTTTTAATTTTCGGTGATTTCTCAAGTAAACACAACTCCAAGAAACGGTATTGCTAGGGTTAGAATACCTATGTATATTGACGTCAGTCACACAGCCTGGTCGGGTTAAAGTAAACAGTGTACTACGTGATCCAAAGTATTCTGCATTTGTTTAGAAATGTCAAGCGATTTTCGTTAGAGCTTTATATTCGAACTAGCCCAATTCTCCTAGCTTCGGATCACTGAGCGAACGAACTCGAATCGAGACAAATAATAAGAACTAATAATCACACTAAAAATCGACACTAATAATCACACAATAAGAATTAGAAAATATCCCACGGCTGCCGGGCACGGTCTTCGATTTCCTAAATGCCGGCAGTTTTTAATTTTCGGTGATTTCTCAAGTAAACAGGAGGGTTAGAGCTAGGGTGTCGGCTGCCGGGCATATAGCCACAGCGTTTCTTGGAGCTGTATATAGCACTGATGAACGGGCAGTTACACGTGGGGAAACCAACACTTGCCCTGTCCAACAACGAATAAAGCACAACCGATTGTCCGATGAACATACATGATACATGCACTTCCTCTTAGCCTAACATAATTATTACTCCGTTTGTTAATTCTCCAACGGTTACTCGGTGGGTTTGGTAAATTGGTAGGCTGAATCAGTGCCGTATTGGACATGCTCTCTATACTTGAGCCGACACGACAGTGGTGATCGTCCCTTCACAGCTGCCGATTGCTAATCAATCAATGAACGTGACGTGTACTTTAGCGTTGCGACGCTAACGGGCATCCACTGTAGGGATGTCGCCGGGAATTATACTCATTCCATGCCGACTCATAGTAAGACTCATAGTCATACTCATGAGTCATAGTTACCGTTACTCATCGTTGCTAGATGCATCGCAATTGTATTATAACATTCCTGTAACATTATTAATTAATATTATTATTACTATTACTATTAGTCATTCGACTCATTGCAACAACGACGACTCTCATTCATAATTTGGCTTAATTTGACTTAGTCTTACTCTTAGAGTTAGTTACTCTTACTTTGTTCCTTTTCTTGGACTTATCGCTTTGTTCCAGTTGAATTGGGCAGTTCAGTGCAGACACGCGGGCTATATATGTTACGTCCTCAGTGCTTTGTTCACTGTAAAACCCATACACTCCGACACTACAATCCGACACTACAATCCGACAGGTGCTGTACTCAACGTTACGGGAATGCCGCCGGAAGATACGAGGCGTATGAATGAGCTTCAGTGATAAGTCTGCGGCAGACTTTATAACCGTGGACAAAGTGGCAGCCTATGACGGTTCCCATAGAAACGCCGACCTACCCTGCGCAATGCTGCTGCGCCTGCTTGTCTGTAGCTGTATGAGAAAAGCAGCTGTTGAGTGCAGGTAATTTCTGGTAGTTTTCCACGCTGTTTCAGTGTTTGCGCGGCTCTCCTTTATAATGGAACGCGAACTGTAGTGTAGTCTGCATCATGCCTTGCATGCAATAAATGAAATGAAATGAAATGATGTCATGAAATAATGCAAATAAACCAAATGGAAGCTAGGAGACAAAATGTCAGGTATGGTAGAGTACTGTAGTCTAAAACAAAATGTCGGAAGACCGCGCTGAGAAATGTAGGAAACAAAATTCTAGGGAGGAACTAGAATAAAGATGTGTACTAGGCGGAGAGGGGATCGACCTATATGTCGATCATTGCATACGGAGTATAACGAGTGAGAGGGATATGGGGGAGGCAGAAAAGCGGGGCGAACACAGGAGCGAGGAGCAGGAATGACAGTCAGAGTGAATATAGGGTGTGGGAAGGATCAAATGAGGAATGTGGTGAGCAAAAAGGGGAAGGCTATAGAGAGAAGGCTATAGATGAAGGCACGTGATGAGCTAGAGCCTAGAAGAGGTCGATAAAGAGAGGGGAAGCGGGTGCTTCTGAGCTATTGAGTGATATTTTTGTGACAACATCTTTCAAAATAAAAATGCATGTATTCTGTACTGTTATAGGCCCTGATTATAGATGATGTATTAAAATTTTAGAAAGGCTACGTTAGAAGATAGTTTTGAGTGCATTATATATAAAAATTCAGATTTTGTATGAGTTACTTTGAAAGTTACGGACGTTACTCAACATGCTTTGACAATTTTGAAATAAAAATACAAGGGCTAAATTGAGGATGAATGTCAATTTACAACAAGTTAGATGCGTGCTGTGTGCCTATAATTAATGATCATTTCTCAGAAATTATCATTTTGAACATGTTAAATTGTTAGTGTTACGGACGTTACTAAAATTTGTTGAATTCACAATTTTATATACAAAGTATTGTAGACTTCTAAAACTGTGAAAGCATTGCAAGCATTGTATTACAATGTGAGCTACACTATGTGTACTTTTAACATGTTTGTTTGACAATTTTCGACAATATAGTAATCCGGACGTTACCATTGACAAATTGACAATTCTTGCGTAACGTCCGAATATAAACTTCAAAATTAAGTTATTTACAATCAAACAAGGACACATTTGATGGCAGAATTTGAAGGAAACCTACTTGTGAACACAATCAATTAATTATAATAATAATATCATAATATCAATTATACATACAAAGAGGGAAAGTATTTGCTACATAATTTGTGTTGCAATCCTGATACGGACGTGACTTTGACTTTGACATACCCATAACAAATTGTGATCAAATGTCAATAGTAACGTCCGAGCGTATTTATGTCAATATCTGAACATTCTCCACTTGAATGGTCGATATTTATATGTTTAATGTCTGCATGCACAATAACATCTCCTGATAACTGCATGGATATTGGACATGATATCATTTTCCATGCACATGTATTTAAAGATTTTGTTGAAAAAAATAACGTTCGAACGTCACCGACGTTACTCAGGAAATATTTGAGAGACACCCATTTGTCTCTATTTTCAACTTTCTCAGATGCATCTGACACAAATCTTAGTGCAAAATGTAAGTGTTTTTTTGACAGACAGGTAACGTCCGTGTCTACTAAATTCAAAAGAAGATAAAACATTACAAAATAATATTTTTTAAGGATTTCTTTGTTTCATCAAACCAATTTATGTAATTTCTAACCATATCTAAGACATAATGGAGGGGAATAAAATTTAAATATTTATACAACATGTTAAGCATGTAAAAATGACACGTCACGTCACAAAATGTCACGAGAAAACATTGACATTTTCCACTAAAACATGTATAAAATTTGTATTCCATGACAAATTCTGGTCAAAACAATTGCTTTTATCTCTACAGCTTAAAATTGAAACTCTACTACATTCATAATTTGTTATAAACAGATATATGGAAAAATATGTCCCAAAAAGGTACGGACATTATTAATTACTCAATAGCTCAGAAGTACCCATATATGCAATCTTGCCTTCGTTTTACATCGCTCTATCTCTATCTCGATCGCCCCCCCTCCCCTCTCTCTCCCCTGCCTCTCACTCTCTGCTCTCTATGGGGCCCGCGTAGGCCCGCGTACCACGCCCGCTCACTCTTTTTGTATCCTACTTCTGCTCGTAGGGTCTATGTCCCCCTGACCTCTGTTTGACCTGGCTCGTTTAGCTATTTCTGACTAACCCTAACCCTAACCCTATATATATTATATATTATATATATATATATATATATATATATATATATATTAGTCAGAATTTAAGGCCTTGCCCTACTTCTTCTGTTATTCGCTGCACTTCGCTTTATCTTTATCCCCTCCCCTCGTATATAATAATCAGGGGCAACATGTTTATATAATATAGATTCTATGGATGTTCTATATGCATAGTCAGTAAGTCTATCCACATTTTATATTCTCGCTTGAGTCCTGATATCGCGCATCACATTATTGTACGGCTGCCTATATATATATACACTCTCTAGAAGCGGCAAAGAAACGGTGGCACGCTTGTGTGTAGACCTGAATATCTACACTACATCTGTTCATGTGCATTTCTTTGTTTATATTTTCGCCACTCCAAGATATGTGTTGTTTGTCGAAACCTGATCAAGCCGTCAAGATTCTAGGGTGAATAAATAAAGAATACAGTCCCACGTACAGCCCCTAGCTATAATGGTTCACAAACATTTTCCTTTCCTCGCATAATGGGTCGTGTAGTTAGCAGGGTTGAAGGGGGCAAGGGGGACAGTTGCCAGCAGACTAATCTAGACACTAGAATATTATCAGGAGTAAGATAATATAGGATCCTATATTATCTTACTCCTGATATTATATAGTCAGTGCCGAACCGTCCACGGTCAACTGCTAAGAACGCAGACCGCACATATGGCTTTGCCCCCCACCAAGGCAAAATGAGTTAGCTATGCCCCCCTACGTCATATCAAGAGCTAATAATACCGGTAATTAAGCTATAGTAATAATAAAGGTATTATTAGCTCTTGGTCATATATAGATCGCCGTAGTCGTGAATCAATAATTAATTTCTACCATTTCTTAACAATTTACTTACCACGTGGATTCTTCGCGTTGGATTTTCGTCCATTTCGTTATTTTCATCTACTTGACGTAGACAAAATATGTTCTTCATCTTCATTGAGCGTTTCAAGATCGAATGGGCCTAAACAACGATAAAAATAACATATCACGTCTCGCCGCGCTCATCAAATTATATATACGTATCTTTACAGCTACAACGTCGCACATATACTTCTATATTTATCTCTATATCTCTCCATCTCTCCATCCATCTGTCTATACATCCATCCATCCATCCATCTACACATCCATATGATCTGTCCATCCATCCATCCATCCACCCATCCATACATTCATCCATCCATGCATCCATCCATCCATCCATCTATCCATCCATCCATCCATCCACCCATCCATACATTCATCCATCCATGCATCCATCGGTCCGTCCGTCCGTCCGTCTGTTCGTCCGTTCATCCATCTATCCATCCATCCATCCATCCATCCTTTAATCTTGCTCCCCCCTCTCTCTCTCTCTATCTTCCTCTCTCTTTCTCTTTCATCCTCTTTCTCTAAACAGTACAATAAAAACATGTATTATGCATTATATTAGTTAGAATATATCAGGAGTAGACAATAGGGGAAACTCTCATACAAAATGCAGATAATGCTGTATATCTCTAATATGTATATATATATA